GATATTGAATCAGAAAAGGTGAATAACCAGGTGAGTTATATTGTATTACTTCTTGATGTTCTTGTAGAAGTTTTGCTTTTTTTGCCTGCTTATTCGTTGATATTCTGCTTAACGCTTCAACTTTTTAACCTTATTATTCTCATCACACAAAATTTTCCTGTGAGTTGTAATGCGTTCCATTATATTAACCTGAATCTTCAAATTAGTAGTAGAATTATAAACTCATTGAAGTTTAGTAAGCTTCATATTGGTTGCATTGATTCTTTCTGCAGCTTTTTTTATGCAGCAGCATTAAGGAGCAGAATAATGTCAGATATGATAATTTCTTCGATTGATTTTTGAAGAGGTTAGTTTGCTTGAATAAACTTTGAGCTTTGGGATAAGCTGGGTCGTGAATAATTATTCTGCAAAAATCCTTGGATTAAAATTGGGGTTGCCAGATATTCTCTGATTTTATTTTCTATTTCTTCCTAAGATTTATATCAAATTTTTTCTACACATCAGTACATTCTGTATATAGACTAACTTTTGGATATACAGGATTTCTTACAATCATCATATGATAAAATCTAAAAGCATTGCAAAACCTTTGATATTAGGTTATAAGGGTCTTATAAATATAAATCTTGTTATATTTCAGTGTAGTTAAAAAAGCCTGCATGTTAAAGAATTTTATCAATGATGATCAAAAAACGCGATTAGATCATTGCATTTATATATCTTAAATGTGATAAAATGAAACTATTGAATCACGTGGTTATCATTACTTGTGATTTTTTATATTGATCAAATTTAACGAAAATCAACGTGAAGATAATTTTAAATTTATTATTTTATTAAATATTCTAGGATGACACCATTTACACAGATGAATTGTTTAATGATAGCAACTAAAGATTTCAAAGTAATCATTTGTTTAATAACCTATAATAATGTTGATAAGAATCCAAAAATCCTAAAATCAAGTCCAATATTGAAATTCCTTAAAAATAAAAAACTGATATCTAAATTTTAGAACATAGACCTTATTGAATGTCTAATCAAATAGTTCCCAAATTTTTTCAATGTCAAATTTACAATTATATTCTATTTCAGAATTTATTAATATAGATAGGTTGTAATTTGGAATTTGATTTCATTTCTGACTAGTCAAAGGTACTATCACCTTTTATATTACAAGATAATGCTTGATATTAATTGGTTGAATTTATTTAATATAATCACATAAACAATAAATCTCATAAGGAGGATTTTATAGTAACATATAATAATGTAATATCTATCACTTTCCTTATAAAGAAAATATTTTTTATAAATAGAATATTATATAATATTAAAAAAGGTTATAAAAAACAATAATAAAAGACTAATATTATTACAATTTATAATAAATCCATTAAGGAATATTTTTATTATAAAAGATTTAATCAATATTCAATATATATTATTTTATTATAAAAATAAGAAATATTAAAAAATATTTAAATTATTTTCTAATAAAAATAATATTTTTATTATATATTTTTATTTTTATTTATAAAATTTTAATAATTAACTAGTTTCAATAATATATTTAAATATTAAAATTAAAATTCATATTTTATTATACATATAGAATTCATTTAAATAAAAGTATAAATAAAAATTTTTGAATCTATTACCATTATTGAAATTTACTGATGAAATTGTTTAATCAAAAAATCTATCATTCATTAAATTAGATACTTTATTAGATTATGAATTAGAAAGAGGATTGAAGAATTAATTTTTTAAGATTTATATTGATAATTTTTAATTTAGATATCTATATATAAGAACTTGTCAATAAAAAAAAAGGAAATCTAAAAAAAAAAGTTTTATGAGTAAAGTTAAATCTGAACTTATTTTACTAAAAAATCATATTTAGCATATGAAGTAAATTTTAATTTTTTTTAGATTTCCTCCTATTCTATTGATAAACTTACATATATTATTTAAAATATTATATAATATTTTTTATATTACATTGCAAAACCTGTATAAAATTTTAATTAAAAAAATAGAAAATTTAAATAATTCTATTTTTAAAATTGATTATTAATAAAATTATCTAATAAAATATAAATTAGTTAAAATATAATTAATTTATTAATTAAGATAAATAATAGTAACAATCATATTATAATAATTAGGATATAATTAGATTATATTTATCATAATTAGGTTATAAAAAAGTAAGCCAATTATAAATTTGTAGTATATATAAAAGTTTAGGTAAATTATAAAATATAAGTAGGATAATTTAAAATAATTTAATTAAGTTATTTTAATATATCATATCATTCTGAAATCAAACAACCTTTTTTACTATAGGATTATTTAATTTTGGAACTTTATTTTGAAATAAAAAAATAAGAAAATGCACAATAAATATCATATGCTATATTATCATGCATGTAATTATTCACGTGCGAAACAAATATTACATTATTGTTTTTAAACCTGTTTAAACTTATTTTATGAGATAGCGTCACAAAAAAAGCAAGCAAAAAGAGCTGCTATTAAAAAGCTGTTAGTAAAAATACTGTTAAATAACACTGCAACTCATATTCTGTTAAGCAAAAGAGACAAGTTGTCACTTATGTTAAAGAAAACGGAATAATTGCAACAGCAAGATTTTTTGAAATTGATAAAGGTATAGTTAGCCGCTGGATTAAGTCAAATGAAAAATGGGTAAATAAATCAAATCAAAGAAGCAAACGAGTTAGTTCTAGTTAAAAAAGCTTTTACTCAGAAGCTGAAAAAGTTATATGATTGGATCATTAAGTAGAGAAAGCAGAGATTAGATGTTACATATGAAATAGTACAAGTTAAAATGTTAGATATTTTAAATGAATCTGTTATGGTAAGTTTGTATAGGCATTCAACAAGTGTATTTAAAACATCAAGTCGTTGGATGTTTGCATTCATGAGAAGATATAATCTATCTTAACGGTGGTAGCAAAAACATCATCACCACCAACAGCAGCAGCAGCAGTAACAATACTATTATCAATAGCAGTAGTAAAAACACCATCACCACCAACAGCAGCAGCATCAGCAATACTATCACCGCAAACAGCACCAGCAACACCACCAGTGTCCAATATTCTCAATATGGACAAAACTCCTGTCTGGTTTGATATAGCAGAAAATTTTACTATTGATAGTATAGGTGAAAAAACAATTCATATTCGTGGCATTAGCAATAAAAAAATCAATTTACAGTTGTATTGACATGTGCTGCAGGTAAAAATCATTAACAATTTTTTTCTTTTGGTTTACTTACCTAATTTTTTATTTTATAGATGATACAAAATTTCCACCTATTTGTATTTTTAAAGGAAAACAGTTACTATATGACGAACAAATTTCACCTGGTGTTATTGCTTAGTTTTAACAAAATGCATGGATAGATGTCAATTTAATGAAGAAATATGTTGAATATGTCAACAATCTAAAGACCAATAATACTTCAATGATGATGGTAAATGATTCTTTTAGAGATCATCTTGAAGACTCAGTTAGAATAAAATTCTAGGACAGTAATATTAATTTAGCGGTTAATCTAGGTAGTTTAACTAGCTTATATTAACCACTTGATGTAATGATAAATAAACTATTTAAGAATAATCTTCATAAAGAATAGCATATTTGGATGGTAGGGGGTGATGTCAGAGTAATCACATTAGGAAATCTTCATTGTACTAGATTATCTAATATTTGTGATTAGGTCAAACGTGATTGAGAAGAAATTTCAGCTAAAATAGTTGTGGAATCTTTTAAGACTTGTAAGATTTCAATTTTTTTGAACAATAAAATTACTGATAGTGAGAATTCTGATGATTATGTTATTGGTGATGACGATGATATCATTAGTGATAACGACAATATTAATAATAGTAATAGCAATTAGTAACAATAATATAATAAATAAAACAATTTATAATTATCATAAAAATATTAATAAAATACATTTTTTCAATTACATTTAGTACTTTTTAAATATTTTTTATTATATTTAATTATTTTTATTATAGGAATTTGTGGGTTGCTTATTTTCGGAACTATACTAATTAGGGGGTTGCTTATTTTTGGGGGGTTGTTTAATTTCGGAATGGTACGGTGATTATGTTATATAACTAATATTCAATATTTTTAAGTATAATTCAAATCCTTTTAAACTATTATCAACCTTATTCTAATAATTTATTTTATAATAAATTTACTAATATTTCTTCTAATATAAATTTTTTTTTTTTTTTTACAAATATTTAGAATTTTGAAAAGAATGTTTACATCAGAAGATAGAATTGTTAAAATTATATTTTTTTTCAAATAATTGATTTCTAACTAAATACACATGCTAAAATTAGATTCACATGATTTGATTTTGGTCAAGATTGTGGCTGGTGATATCTATATTTAATAATAAAACTTTTAATGAGTTGCAGAACTTTATCCGATCCAGATAACGAACATGATTTTCATTTTACAAGTGAATTCGAACAACAGAATTTAAGTTCTTATGTTGTCATTAATGTTCTTAATCTCATTGCAGTCGAATAATTAATTATAATTTGTGTAATTATTATTTGTTCCTCAGTTTCTTTGTAATATTTAATGATAAAAAATACAATCACTGCACAAAATTAAAATACGATTATTAATTAATTATATTTATAATTATATTTATTACATTGTAAAACATGACACGCGCGTGTACCACTGATAAGAAAGGATCATGGGACCTCAACGCTTTATAGTTTTATTTTTACTGGGGACTTTCCATAAATATGCTAATGAAACAATACAAAAAAGATTGTAATTCTTCAAATTGTTTACCTTCATACATGAAAAATATCCATTTGAAATGAATTATCACAAAACGTGCTTTTTTTTATTACATTTTTTTGCTTTAAATGTCCAATTATTACGGACGACAAAATTTTCTTAATAGGGAAATAATAACATAACACAATATGTTTATCGGTTGTAACAATCTAAATAAGAAACTAACTCGATTTTCTATTAAACGAACCTACAATCGAATACCTGCTTTTGGCAGAGTTTTTCCATTATATGATAAGCCACCAATGTTACATTTAAGGGGTTTTATTTTTGACAAAAAAAAAAATTTCATTATAAAAGAACTGAAAACCCATTCAAAGAAAAGAACATTCGCAAATTTTTTTTTAAAACAAGCGATAAAAATTTTCATATAAAATGTAATTTGAAAAAAAATCCCTCAATTCACATCATGTTCAAATAAATAAATGAACACATAACGACAATAATAACCCTTCACAAAAGTCAATAATGAAAATGTAGAAAGTATAATTATATGTACCTTTGATTTTGTCATTTGCAAATAGTTTGGGTTTCAAATATCCGCGAAAAGGATTACCGACAACTGCAACTGCAAGGGATGAGGAATATCCGACAAACAGAGAACCCGAACAATTGCTGGACAAAATGAGAATCCGGCAACTGAACAAGAGTAAAATTATCCGTAAAGAAATTGGAGCTTATCCAGATACCGCTGGTCAAGAGGAATATACAGACACTGTTGGTCAAGAGGAATATACAGATACTGCTGTTCAAGAGGAATATACAGATACTGCTGTTCAAGAGGAATATCAGTTACCGCTGGTCAAGAAGAATACAGAGATACCGCTGGTCAAGAAGAATATTTGAATACCGCTGGGCAAGAAGAGATCTGTCGATAGTTTAATCGTGTCATATGGCAAAATCCGCCCCAACAACAATTATATCAAAATAATGATTTTTATTTTTTTTTAAAATTAATTTTATTTTAATTAATTTAATCAAAAATCCTTTGATTGTTTTTAAAATATATTTACTGTATAATACTGTATGTTAAAAGAAAATTTATGTTATTCGAGTTTTAAGGAAATAAAAATCATGATTAAAATATTATTACAATAAATTGTTTCTCGTTGAAATTTTTAGTGAAGATATTGATAATTTCTGTTCTAGAATATTTTTTTTTATTCACTTGTTGATATTATTTAATTTTTTAATTTTTTTTTTAATTCCGCCTAGAAATTCTCAAACTCCTTTTTATAGAAACCTGTAGAATTTTATAATAATGCGGCAAGAAATTATCCTATAACTGAATAGATGAGACAATTATTAAATTGTATTGCTCATTTTATCTTTAAAAAAAAGACCTACAGTTTTGGCTATTTGACAGTTTCAAAATTTTTGTGTAATCGATCCTGATAATTTGATGATGGGACGCTTATTATTAATACATATTTTTTGTTTTATAACGTGTTTTTATTTTCTCTTATAATTTCTATTTCAGACCAAAATATTCAAATTTAAATCATTAGAAAAATAAATAATATACCATGTAACATGGGTTTTTAACAAGTATAATTATAATTTACTATCGAATTTTTGACGATCATTATAAATTTATTTTTTTGCATACAAATGAATAATAAATATTTTTATTGACAAAAAATTTTTGAAAAGCTTTATTGCAATATCAAATCCAGATGGCTGAAGTTGTACTTTTTGAAGTGGGTTGGATTTTTCTTATTTCGGTTCTTTGTTTTCGTTATAACATCGGATCTTTACAGATACAGAATTGTGTAATTTCTTTAAGAAAACTGCTGTTTTGATATAGCAACTTAAGCCAAAGTCATTATCATCTTCTAAATTCTGAGCAAATTGCAGTTCCAAATCAGAAGGTGAAGATATCCAAGGTTTTTGAAGGATTACATGATAAAAACTAAATGCAAATTATCTCTTCTTAGTCATCTTAGTCAACATACTGCTAATAGTAAATGAAGCCATTTTAAAAACCATTTTGAAAAGACTCTAATGCTTTTGTAATTCTATTCTCTAAGTTATCAAGAGAATTCCAAATTTTGATTAGATAACAAATGTATAACTTCTAAAAACTAATCAAAAAAACATATCAAAGTTGCTAGTAAAGTTTTGGAGAAATTCACATCATTCAAAAACCTGATTAGGAATTTTATACATATATCAACCTGAAAGTAATGTAATTAATTATCCATCTTTATATATTCATAATTTAGTATCTTGTCTTACTATAAACTGCATTAAAGGCTCATAAAATACTCAGTAAAATTAACTTAAAATTTAATTTAAATATTCAATTTTGGGTTAATAAGCCAAGATTTAAAAAGATTTCAATTACCAAGATAAAATTTAAGTATTTTTTTATAATATTCAATTTACCAAAAAACTAATATAAAAATTCAATATGAATATAATAACTATCAAGATATTGTTTTACTATTCACGGTTTATAATCTTAATAAGAATGAAGAGGTAACTGGTATTGTTTGTAATGGAATCCTTTATATAAATTTTGAATAATATGAAAATTTATATTAAGTAGATTATCTCTATCTTGAATCATATCCATTATGTAACTTTCATGCTAAAATAGAGTAGATTATATATATGCAGTTTTCTTGAAAAACTAATACTATTTAAAATTATACTAATATAATTTAAATTATATGAAGTTGATAGCCTATTCAAATTGAATTTGATCTAATATTTTTGTTAAAAAAAATAATAGCAATATTTTTTCTTCTGATATGAAAGCTATACCTATAATGTATATTTTGTAAAATCTAAACTATCTTATTGTATATACTTTATAATAGTATTAGATACAGTTTTTGTATTACAATTTTGAATGTCTTCAAGATAAATCGATAAATCACAGTTATAATTGGTATTTGGTAATATAAAACAAAGTTCTTTATTTACTCTGTTTTGATTCATCAACTAAGATTCTAAATGCTAAAGTAATAATAATCTAATAGATTTAGGTATCAATATGTAATTTTAAAACATCTTAATATCAAGTATGTAATGTTAATATTGTTAGCCAATTTTATAATAGTTCTTCAATTAAAAATTATAAATTAATTGTATATATTTTATTATAAAATTTAATGAAACTTGATTGGTTTGTGAAATACTAGTTATAAGCCAAATGATATTTGATATATATTATCACTTATTTACTTAAAATATTGATTTTAATTGCTTTTGAAAAGTTGCATTTAACACTTATCTTAAATATTAAGCTAATGATCAAATTTTAGAAGTACTATTTTGCATTTTAATTGTAAAATATACATATTTTATATTCTAAAAGATTATTCTGCTGATCAAGTTTTTTGCAATCAATTTTTAGTTTTTTGTTGAATATTTGCAAATCATAATATTTAGATTATTGTTTATAAAAAGTTTGAGTAATATATTTATTATCTATTTTTATATATACAAAAAATAAATTTTGCCTTTATTAGGCCTTTTAGGATAATATATAGTTATAATAAAATGGTTTATTATTACTTATTCCTCAAATGATTGTTAAACTAAAGTAATTAAATCAACTTTTTCTTTACTTAATTTTGCCAGTTTTATTATTAGATTTAAAATATAGTTAAGATTTGGTTTATCTATCTTATTTATAATTTTTCTTCTCTTATTATTTTACTGTCTTTAATTTTTGGACTTAAATTTTATGTATTCTTTTCAAGTAGCAGGAACGTTTTGAAATTTGAGACATTTTTTCATTAAAAATTTGAAAACTTAAAATTAAATAACTTGCATTCTATTAGTATATAAGAAATGCTAAAATTAAAATAAATACTTAATAATTTAAAGTAAAGATAGTTCTCATAATTATTTCTAAAATTTTTAACTAGTTGCAACTTAAGTTGCAATATTTTAAGTTACAACTATTTATGAATTTTTATATTAAAATAAATTTACAAATTTATAAGAAGTTGCAACTCAAGTTGTAACTTTCTGAGTTGTATCTTTTTAATTATGATACCCATCTTTAATTTAAAATAATATACTATTTTTTTAAAATTTCTCTAAGAAAAATTTTTTAGTTAAAATGTTCTAAAATTTTTATTATACTATTTTTGAAGTATTAATAATATTTTTTTTTAAAAAAGTAAGTTATTATATAAAAGAGAATTTAATAAGAAGTTTTTTATAATTTATAATAATAATGCTATTCAAAACTTATTTTAACATGTAGCTTAAAATTAAGAAACTATTTCAAAACTTTTAAAATTACTTTTTTTAAATCTAAAATTTGATAAAACTTAATTGAGTTTAGGAAAACCTGTTAGAAGTTTAAATAAAGATATTTATTATAAACAAATATTTTAGTTTTATCTCAAATATCTCAAAACTCAAATTTTCTAAAAATAGTTTAAAATCTTTAATTTATAATATAAAACAATTGAAAATAAAAAAAATCTTCAATAATAAATTTTACTATATAACTTGATATAGCTTTGTTAAACTAGATTGATAGAATATTCTAATATAATATATAAAGACATTTTTAGCAAAAGCTAGAGTTTAGCTAATTACATAATTTTATAAAAATTGCAATTTAAAATTTTATATTTAATTTAGTAGATTATTATTTATTATAAAAAAATTAAAGAATTTTAAAATCAGCTTTTTACAAATTAAAATAAAATTTATTAAAAGTATTAATTTTTTTTAATAAGTTTATATTCTTTATTAAATGCATTAAATGCAATAAAAGAAAATATAAAGATTATAAATTATTAAAATTTTAATTTTTTTACTAATATATTATAAATAAAAAAATTTTTTTTTAAAAAAAATAATATAAATTAATATATAATTATAATAAAATATCAAAAAAAAATTTTTAGTTAAATCTATGCTTTTATATATATAAATTTGCAATTAAAATTTATAAATTAGAAGTATCTTTTTTATAGACTTTTTATTATTTTATATAGTATTTATAATCCAAATTTTTTGTAAATTAATATATTAAGCTAATCTCAAAATATATTAGGTTATAAAATATTTATTATTAAAATAAATTATAATACTTTTATTTCTTTTTAAAAATATCTTTATTTTAAAAAAATAAAATTTTATTAATTCTTTAATGATTAATTCAGAACATAATGAAGATTATATAATTCTATATATATTGACTTAAAATATTTGAGTCAATCATTCAATCATTATTAGTTCCTATTTGATACATTTCTCTAAAATGGTAACTGTATAAAACTAAAAAAAAATATAGTTCTAATAAAATAATAAAAATATTGCAATGCTTATTATAAAATTATATCAATCATAATATACAGTATATGTAAATCATTTTCATATTAAACCAAATTTATGTAATCATATTATACTATTTTATGTTTATTCATTTATATAATAAAGTAATTAAAATAAATAATTTGATAGAATATCAAATTTATACATAAATTATATAAACTTAATTAAGTATATATATATATATATATAATAAATTTAGTAAAAAAATTTAATATTTTATTATATTTTAATTATTATTTATTAATCATATTAACTAGTTGAAAAAGTATTACATAATAATTAAAAAAAAATTTTTTCTAAATTTTAGATTACCCTATAACATAATATTTTTCTTTTATAATATTCTATTAGCAAATTATTTAATATTTTATTCAAAAATAAAAATTACTAAACTAATTTAGTAAATTAAATTTAATTTTTAGTAATTTAAATAACATTTTTATATATATTATAATTTCTCAAATTTATAAATAAGACTATATTATTTAATTATAAAAAAAACTTGATTTAATTTAATATTATATTATATTAATAAAATATAATAGCAACTTAAATAGTATTTTATATTAAGGTAATCAAATTCAAGAAAAATAATAAGATTATTATTTTTTTACTCAAAAATATGTATTCAATAAAAATAAAAAATATATTATAATAATTTAAGATTGATTAAGATTATCTTAAAAGCCTAAATATAAGTATAAAAAATTGCAAATAATCTAAAATCATAATGTAAACTATTTTATTTTAGTTATAAAATCTGAAATTATTTTAAAACTAGCTTTATTTTTCTTAGAAAAAAAAGTAATATTTATATTTATATATTAATTAAAAGAAAAATTAAAAAGTTATTTTTATTTTACTAAAAAATACTATTTTAATATTAGTTTAATATATGTATTGCAAAATTACTAAATTTAAAATTTAAAAGTATTATATAAAATTTAGTTGTATGAGATACTGAAATCCTTATTTTAATAAGAATATATTGATATGTATTATTAATTTATAATTAAGCTTTTGCTATTGAAATAAATTCTTTTAAATAACTGATTCTATAATATAACAGAAAGCTTTCTTTTTTTAAAAAAAAATTTATATTTCAAATATATATAAATACATAATATCTAAGAAAAATATTTTCTTTGGAATTTTTTTCTAAAAACAAGATATTAAAATTTTTTAAAGCTATCATATATTCTATTATATTATGTAAATATTAATAATATATAAGTATTAATATTTAAAGATTCAGATGTTTTAAGAAAAATTATATAAAACTGCATAAGAAAAATAAAAGTTTATATGTAAGGTTTAATTATGATTATCTATTAATTATAAAACACATTAATATAATATAATCAATCAAATTAAATAATAAATAAAATTCATCTTTTAATAATTAAAATATTAAATATATACAAAATTTCAAATTTTATGATTTTTTTTATAAATAAATAATATTTATTATATAAATAAATGTTTAAATATATTTTGTAAAGTCTTTTAATAATATAAAAATAAATATAAATTTTAAATTTTAGCTTTTATAAAGAAAATACTTTTATTGAAGAATATTTAATATTTTGATGCAAAAAATTATTAATGTAAATTTTTTTTTTAATTTTATTTAAAAATATTATAAATTTTATTATAAAAATATTATTTGGTGAGTGCTGGGAAAATGGACCAAATTGATTTTTTTTTGAAAAAAAGTTCCTAAGTAAAATAGATGTAGATTTGGTCATCTGGTTCAGATCATTTGTTATTTCAAAAAAAATTTTTTGTCGATTTGGTCCTTTTTCCCAGCATTCACAAGTAAAATTCCTTCTAAATTTGGAAGGAAAACCATAACATTTGTTCCAAAACTCGATTCACTAAACCTGCAAACATGTTCGCACAAGAGGATGCCTATTTGTTTTGAACCTTTATCTTGCATAATAGCACTGATAATTCCAAACGTTAATTGCGTTTCTATTATGCCTAGACTCGATCTAACTTAACTTCCTCCTGAAAGCATTCGCACCAAAACCACAGGTGAGTTGTAGCACAAACCTCAATGACATATAATATATACCCACAAATATTATCCGGGAATAAAGCACACCCATAGCACAGAATTCCCCTTCTGGCGAACATAACAGGTTCTTTAGTAAATTTGTGTTGAGTTACAAAAGAGTAAGATAAGAGAATATGGGAGCTGATCTATTAAAAGTGGGTTATGAGACATAGTAAATCATATGATCTGTACCTCAATTTTAATAGAATACTACCCATATAAAAATATCTATCTAGAAAGTAAAAAAAACTAAACTACGATTAATACCAACCTTGCATCATGCTAAACTAAAATTAAGTAAAATTACAATGAAGAATTGAACTAAACCAACTATCCAGCATAGGGGCGTGGTTACTTTCTGACTAAAAATTTGACCAATTAGAACCTAAGTTAACTGAGTTGATGAAAGAAAATGGAAGGAAAGGCGTAGACTTATATCCGATACGCATACCGATGAGATTTTAATGCCCTTCATGGAACGATAGTCCCAGTTTATTGTTTAAGGCTTCATCAAAAACTTTCTGTAAATCTTGTGTGACCTTTTTCCGGGTTGGCAAAGGACTATCTGGACTTTGTGATGGAATCACAGCATTAAGAAATCATTTTTTCTTCTGATATTAAACGTATTACAGTACTTAACCACCTGCCTCATTAATTTTTGAAATTTTTGTAAATAGTAGAGATATTAATTTTATTTTGTAAATAAAGAATGATGTTAATGTAAATACCCAAACACAGATAAAAGTTCTGATTTTTACCTTGCTGGTTTTTTCACCATTTAGAAATACATATTAAGTAAACTCTAACTGTTATTATTTTTATACAAGCATATTATTAAAAAGGGGATATATCAAACTTGGGTGTTTTTGACATGTAATTTTCATATCACCTTTCTACCAATTCTCGCTTTCTTAAATGCCACTCAGTATAACTAGTAACAATATCCTCGCCGGATTATTAATGGTGTGCATCATTGGTTGTAAGAGTTTGAATTTCCCCCACACACAAATTGTCAATTTCCGATCTAATTCAGCCTTTTCCAAGTCAACCTCTTTCTGTTGTTAAGAACAAAAATATGTAGAGTTGATTAGAAAATACATTGAAAAATATATTCAGACACTTCCTAATTTTATTGAATTTTTAGTTACAATAAGTCTTGTAATTATAACACAATGATTTAATATTGCTATGCATTGCTTATCAAAAAAAGTGATAGTAATTGGCAATACTCACTTTTCGGTAACGTAAAGAAAGTCTAATAAATTATCATCCATTATCAGTTCTGAAGGAAAATTCTATGTGATGCTTGTCAAGATCACTAAAAAGATTCATGAACATTTTATCATCTATAGAATGTTTCCAAATTAAGGTTCGGATAGTTCCGAACATATAGGGCGAAACTGAAAGTTCACTATGCGAAAAGTTTCGGATTTGAGAAAATGGTTTCGCCTGAAACACCTGCGAACTTTCTAGAAAGAAACTTCTATTTGTTCTCTAGGCGTATTTTATGATATCTTTGTGTATTCTGCTCTCATCTGATTTATTTCTTCAATAATTAACCTGCTTCCCTGCTTGCCCCGTTTAGCTTCTTCCAGATCAACTCATCATAATATAAGCTCTTCATTGTCATCACCATCGACATGCAATTATAAGGTCATTTATTTTTTTTCAAATGAATTTATAATAAAAATGATGTCATTTCAGGGTTATTTGCCAACAGTCTACACGCCACCATCACTATCATCCACATATTCATTAAATGTAAGATCTCTCTTATCTATGCCAGTCCCATCACTTCGTGATGTGATTAGTGAGAAAATTTGATGTTTGAGCGTTTGTGGTGGAAGGGGGAGAATAACACGTGGAGAAGAGATGTGAACGTTAAAAATGTGTTGATGATTCTCACCATCCATTTATTTCTGTTTTTCTGCTCTCTTCAATCAAAGGAATGCAATTCACGATGATGACGCTCAACACGATAATTAGATACTCCTGAGTTAACGCAACAAAATACTAGGAGCACAACCATCACTCGAGCCAACACGACAACTGAATACCTCTGATCAACACGACAATCCCTTTTGCTAGATTTGATCTTGATTAGGAATTACAACCCTCTTTTTCAAAACTTTATAATATTCTGGAAAAATCCTTTACAACCTTCAAAAAAAAGTAGTCCGCGCAAATTAAAGAGCATCCAAATTTTCTGAAAAAGGTGGTGACTTTCCAACAGTATTACAGAAAATAATAGAAATTCATAGAACGATGACAAGGTTTTAGAAGTTTTATTTAGAAGCCAAAAATCTTTGGATCGTAAGTTTGACCACTCGACACAAACCTACCAGAATAGCCAAAATCGCCCTCGACAGTTCAGGTATGAATTTACAGTTCTTTTTCCACTTCTAAAAATCCAGTATTTTTAATCGTCGATATTTTCGAATAGAAAATGAATATACCAATTAAGGCGAATCCATTAACAATCATCACGTGCTAGCGGAGCCGTATAAAATTTGTATAATTGGTCAATTTTTATGTTGATCATTTTTGTAATAAATAATCAGATTTATTATTATATTATTTAATTTCAATTAAACACATACTTAAAAAATATAACTATATTTAAGAGAAATTGATTTCATTAATGAAAAGTAAAATTAATAAATTGTAATATCAAATAAGAATTTTGTAAATAACATTTTATTAATAAATTTTTTAGAATTATTGGTAAATCTTTTACATTTTTATTAAGAATTACAAATAATATAAAGCTTATTTTTATAATGTTAATTAATTTTTATCCATTTGCTTTTTTTAAATTTTACTTTAATTTTTAAATAAATTAAATAAAATTAAATTTGTATATTTAAAATTCAATTAATTATTAAATAATTAATTATTTTTATATAATTAATATTACATAAAATGATTATATATAATTAATTATTTTTACATAGTTATACTTAGAAATATATGATTTATAATCACATATATAATAATGAATATTATTTTTTTATTTGTTAGATTTGCACATTTTTTATTATTAAACTTTTTTAATTTTCTTATATTCTTCTAAAAAATTTGTAAACATTTATTTTTTTTAAAGAATAAAATAATAATTAAAAAATTTTTGTTATTTTTTTTTTGAAATAAATAAATATTTTATTTTTTTGAAAATTTTAAGAAATCTTATTAAAAAAAATAAATATTATTAAAAAAACATTGAAGATTAAAAATAATAATATTAATAATTGTAATAATGTAAAAGTAAAAGTTTTAATTAAATAAATAATATTATTTTATATATTTATATTATAAAACTAACGATTTAAAATATTGAAATATTAATTAACATAAAAAAACAGCTTAAAAATTTGTTTAAGATATAATTAAATAAATTATAATATTTAATATCATAAGTAATAATATAATTACTTATTAATTTATTTTAAAATTAATAAAAAAATAATAAATTTAATTTTAATATTTTCTTATTTATAATGTTAAATTTTAAATATTTTAAAAGAAAATTATTTTATAAAAAATAACAATTTTATTTAATTATATAATAATATTTAATAATTAATAAAAATAAAAACTTAATTTATTATTTATCAATTATATAGAAGGTTAGCTATTAAAATTTATATTCAAATTATATGATTTATTATATCTTATAATCTGGTTTTAATAGTAAATAATCATATGAGACCATTACAATAGAAAGTGGAAAAACTGCCAGGAAAAATTAATTTTACTTTTATATATTAGATATGATTTTTAGGCTAAAATATATTCAAATTTAATATTAACTTATTTTTAATTTTTTTAGCAATTTCCTTCACCTCCTTTCAATTTATTACAAAGTTCCTATATGTTGAATTTTTTATATAATTAATAAAATTATATAAGTTGAATAATTTTTTTAAAATATTTTAATAATTCTGCAATTAATATATAATAAAGAGTTTTATATAAGCTTCACAAATATATTATTTTATTATTTTTAAGTTCATTTTTAGAAGCTTATAAATTCATCATAAGATTTAATAAAATAAAATATAAAAAATAGTAAATTTAAACTATTTTTTCAAAATAATAGTATTTTATTTTATTTTTTTATTACAAATATTTATTCTTTATAAAGCTATTTTTTGCTATCTTATTCTTATATTTATATTATATTAAGTAATTTAACTTTTAATAATTTATATTTAAGTAAAGCTTTACATAAGTTGGCTTAGGTTAGCTTAGCTTAAGTTAAGTTGATTTATTACTAATTTATTTGGCTTATTTCTTAGATTATCTAACAAGTAAATTTGCTTGCAAAATTAAAAAATTGTTAATTTTTCTATTAAATATTAAATATTAATTTTAGTAATATTATTATTATATAAAAAATATAATTTAGTATATATTTTATCAAACTGCTTCAAAAGCAAACTTATATGCTATTGATGCTTTATCTCAAATTATAAATTTTGTTTTTCAAATTAATTCAGCCAATTCAGAATTATAACTTATATTTAAAGTTGAAGTTTCTGTTATTTTGATGGGGATTTTGAATCTTGAGTGAGCAGTTCTTTCACCATCTAATAATAAAACTGCAATTCCTGATGTTGCAACTGCAATGATAATTTCCTTATTTGATCTTACTTTGCTAAAAGCATATTGAATAGAAAGGTCTTTCCATAATCTTCAGGACTATTAACAAAAAATACTGTTATATTGTATTTTCTATTTTTCATTTTCAAGTATTTGGATAATGCTATCAAAATTTTTTTTTGATCAACATTTAAAAGATTTTCTTGATTTAAAAAAGCTTTTAAATCATCAAAATTGTAATTTAATTCTTTTATTATTAAATCTGATTTTTCAAATTCTTTATCTTAATTAATTAAAAAATAATTAGGTGGAGTAATAGAATAATCTTTTAAGTATCTTTCATATGGTAATAGATATTTTTCAATATTTATTAATGTCTTTGTGATTATAATAGCAATATCATTATCACTTAAATTTTCAGTATTTTTAATTGTTTTTATTAATATTTGAAATCTTCATTTAAATTATTAATATGATTATTAAAAGTTTAAATGCATCCAATTCTCTTGGATCAGAAAATAATAAAATGGAGGCAAATAATTATCTTAATTTTGATAGCATCATGTAACTTGCAGCTTCTTCAAGACATTTGTTAAATTCTTCATTTTCTTCATTCAATAATTCAAATTTTCATGCTGTTTTCTCAAAACTATTATAAACTTTTCTATTTATAGTTTTTATATATTCATAAGAGGTAACACCTTTAACTAAATTTAATAAAATTCTTAAATAAAATCATTTCTTATCCCTTAGACTGCAAGTATACATTCTGGAAATAACTTTTTCGCCACTCTTTTTTTATTGTTACTAATTTTCATCTTTCCATATAAAATGTTTTGGAAAATCAATATAACATAAATTACTTATAACTGGAATAAATAGATTATTTTTATACATTTGAAAATAATAGGTCAATTTTATATGAGAGGATTTTTTGAAAGATCTTCATCTTCTTGAAAGGTAATTATATATTGGTCTTCTAAGTGAACTGAAAGTCTTTCAACTTTATGAGTAAACCAAAATTAAATAGTCTTCAAGATGCTTCAATAATAGAAAATATCTTGCATTTAAATATTTTTTAATTTCATCTTGTAAGCTTTCTATAGATATACAGTCATACCTCTCTATAGCGAATTTTTATATAACGAATTTTTTGGACAACTATATTAAATTTACCCTCGTTATAACGAACTAGCCAATCAAATTCTTTAAAAAATTCACTATAGCTCTATAGCGAAGTTGAAGTTCAGAACATAAAATTCGTTATATCAAGGGTTGACTGTAATTATATAGTTATAACTTTTATAAACATATTTATAAAGATATTTGACTGAATAGATACTTGAATATATTTCTATATTTATATGACAGTCATATTTTTGACATAAATAAGGATTATAAGGAACAACCCATTTATTATCGATAATGAATTTTCCTTTTTTAATTGTTCTTCCATTATCCTTTCTTCTATATACTAGATATCTATGTCTTATTATTGTTGTTGTAGCAAATTCTCTATGATAATGTTTGCTATATTTACTATCAATTATACAAGATGATTTAGGATTTTAAATTTCACAAGATCTGTGAATCATGTTTCTACAAATAGTTTCAAATAGCAATGGTTAAAGATCTTTGTTTAGAAGTTTTGCACATACTATATGATCAAAATCTTCTGGTGACTTTAGTTTAGATAAGATTATTAAAATATGTGCATGTGATAATCCTCTTTTTTTGGAATTCAATAACATATATATGAGCAATGACTTTTCCAAGTACACCTTTTACAAAAAAATCATGAGTAATTTCTCTTAATTTTAATTTAAATACCCTTGCAACTATATCAGATCGGTCACTTGCTTGTTAATTTAGTAAGAATTTATTTTTAGTTTCTGGCTAATTAGAATTGCAAGTAATTATTATAAATAAATCAGGTTTTTCATATTTTCTAACAGTCGTTATGGAATCTTGATATAATTGTTGCATGTATCTAGTAGATCTACTAAATATTACTGAAATAATTTTCCTGAAAGGTGTAATATATTTTTTGTTTTATTTAAATCTCTAATTTGCATTTTATATGTTGCAAATTCTCTAATTGTAATCTGTTTTCTTTTTTTGATCCTTGTTTGATTTTCCAATTCTTCTATTTTCTCATCTTCATTATCAATAATTCTAGACTCAACTACAATATCATCAGGTTCAGGTATATATACTCAAATAGGTTTCTTTTCTATTTCTATTTCTTTTTTTTACCTTTGCCTTTACTTGAACTTGTTAAATCAAGATTTTCAAAAAATTGAGACACTCC